CACCACCCGTGCTGCCTCTGTTTGCCTTGAGCACAGCTACAGCCCAGCCCCCTCACCTCTTTGCCCCCAACAAACTTACCAGATGGATGCTGCTGTCCAAGCTGCCGGGCTGCAAATTGGCAATTGGATCGACATTGGCCAATTATGGCTTGTTAATTGTTGGCCATCACTTTTGGCCCAAAAAATCTTTATCTGTGCACCCCTAATTTTTGTTCAATAGTATCACTGTTGTCTTCGCTCCTCTCCAAACCATGCCCATAATATTTTTGTAGGTTCATAAGATACTTCACAAAACAGGTCTGTTATCATGAGGTATCTCCAACGTAACTATTTTTTTTGATACTCCTCTCAAGTCACTTGAAAGGAGCCTGTACTGTATTTTAGAGGGGTAGATGATATCTGGAAAGTCGTGCAAGGTGGGCCATCCAAAATGGTGTTGCTTTAAAGTTAAGAGTCGCTTTTGAAGTATTGGTTCATTTCTTCATTCTCTTTATTACACAGTGAAATGTAAGTGTAATGTACTGTCCAAGCTAACAACACATTTTTATCAGAATTTCTGTTGCAGGGACCTTATATTAAATGGAGATTGATATTCCACGTAGAATTCTTTGATTAACTGGATTAGTGTAGTCTCCTATAAAATCACTCATTCTGAATTGTATCTTCTGCATTTTCAGTGACCTTGTATGTGTGTGATTTTTTTTTTTTTTTTTTTTTTTTTTAGATGGATATGGGGATGACGTACGCTGAACTCTCAATCTATGGCAAATTAAGAAAGGTAGCAAAGGCTGGACCATACAGTATGTTTTGCAAGCTGATTAATATGTGGAAAGAGATCTGTAGTCCAAGCGAGGTAAAACTAATATAAATATGTATCTCCTTTTTTAAAATAAATTCTTTCATCAACAAACCTGCAAAGAGCAGCTTAATCATTGTCTAGAATTTCTCTACCTCAGCAACTTCTGTCTGTTAGACCAAGAGAGACGGTCAGAAAAGGCTGGTATCCCTATAGTGAACTTTCTGTAGATTGAATCTGGCTGTGTTGCAATTTGTTAGACCAACAGTGAGGGGCTCTGAAAGGACCTATTTTTAAATCTGCACATTCAGGGTAATACTCATCACTTGGTTATTTGTATCAGTTCCCATTGAAGCCAGTGGGCATGGCAACTCTGTATTTTAGGAGTAAAAGTGATTCTTGCTGTGCAGAGTTACCTTTTTAACTGCTTTAAAAGTGGAGGGGGAAGTTGCTGCTCAGGAGTATATTTCAGTTGTTGAGATGTAGTTTTTTATATCTGCATGATCCTGTAGTGATACAAATAAGCAAAGTTACTGTAACTTTAAACCAGAATGAAAGTGGGTTGAAATTGCAATGATTTTGCTACACTTTTATCACTACAGTAGTGGCATCTAATCTTCTGGCCTCATGGACCAGACTAGTGGTGTGGGATTGGTCTACAGGCCGGATCCCGCAGGGTTGATGTCTGGATCCAGCCATGTGCTAACCTGACCTGCCACACTGGCTCATGTTTTTTTGGCCCATGGGGATCCCCACAGGTCCAGAAATTTGGCAGCAGCAGGGGAGTGGCAGTTAACACTGCCACCACTCCTATGCCACCAAATTTCTAGACCTTTGGGGAGCCCTGCAAGCCAGATGACTCTGTTTTGCAGGCTACGTTTGGCCTGCAGCCTGGTGTTGAGCATCCTTCGACTACAGAATCATGCGGAAATAACAGTTCATTTATTGGTATCATTTGATAAAGCTGTCACATGTCTATACTCTTGACTAGATTAGTATCAGAATAGTACAAATCTTTGTTTTATTGTGACATTATTTTGCTATTCTGCTATGTTAAATATACCATAGCTGCATCTGTTGTCAGTAATATATGTTAGTATATATGGAAAAATTTGGGTCTATAAAACCAAAACACATCTGTCTCCAGAACAGAGCGCTCATTTGGATTTTAATTCTGAGAAATTCCAACTGACTTGAAACTGTATCTTTTGTACACCAGGTGGCATCAAAGGTTAAGCATTTTTTCAGGATGTATTCAGTTAATAGACATAAAATGACCACCCTCACCCCTGCCTATCATGCTGAAAACTACAGTCCAGATGACAATCGGTTTGATCTGAGACCTTTTCTTTATAATTCTGCGTGGTCTTGGCAGTTCAGATGTATAGATAAACAGGTAAGCATGGTTCATTTCTTCCTTTGGTTTATTTTTAAGGCCTTTGTGATGGAACAAACCCAAGTTGAATGTATCTAGATAGAGAGAGATTATTGATAATCTAAACAACCTTTTTAGGCTCAAGGTAACCTCTTCTTTGACTCAAGACATCACTCAGAAAATATCAGCTCTTAGTTTTCATTCATTTTTTGACTAAGGAAAAATAATATGGCAATTTTTCTATTGCAAAGAACTCAAAAAGACCAGAACAGGTCAGATTTTTTTTAACGTTGGATTCTTATTTGAAATCATTGCATTTATCTTGTGAATTATGTGTGCACATCTAACAGTGCTAACATTGCATGGCATCCCACAGCAACCTGAAAGGATCTCAGGGCACCTCCAGGGCGCTGCAGCACTCTGGTTGAGAATCATTGATTTAATCCCTTTGGGGAATACTAGAACATGAATAGGTGAAAATATATCAATTTTAGAGGGGAAAAAGGACTTTTACTGTTCATCCTCTGTTCTGTAGGAACTACTTTGGTGTTTGCTTTTATCCTTCGACAGGTAGAAGCTAAGGTGTGTCAACTTAAGGTTTCATTTAGGGATAAGCTGCTCCAGTTTAGCTTCCACTTATTGTGGGATAGGAGCAGATGCATCAAATAGTTACTGCAGAGCAGCTAATATATGTTAAGTTTCACCCACTCTTTTAGCTCGGCATAATTTGTTTGTCCGTACTCAAATCCTAATTTAAGGGCACAAACAAATGTTCACTTGGAGCTGTTTCAAAAGGGAGGGGCAGCTGGTGCTCAGGAGTATGCATCAGCTATTATGCTCTAACTGCTACGTGCACACAAGCCTATAGCAATAGAAGTTGAAGGCAGCAGCTTTCCCCCACCCACCCACCTCCCTACTGCCCTTTTTAACTGTTCAATTGAAGGAATGTTCATGCACTCACTTTTACTTCCACATCATGTTGTTTCCAAAGAACACATTGATTCAATGTTGGTAGGGGATTTTTTTTCATTTTAAACTGTTTAATTTACAGTTTATAAAACAAAGAAAAAGAATGAGGGGAAAAAACCTTATTAAAATAACATTAGGGCCTAGAAATTGCAGTTGGACCTAAACTGTGGTCCAGAGTGCCACTAATATGAATGGAGGCTTATGGACTTGATTGCAGCATTGGGGCCCAGAGTATGTGGAAAAAATCAACAAGAGCCAGGAAATTCATGGTGAAGGTGTCTGCCCATCTGTCTTTACAGCAAACGTGTCTTTGAGTTGGATCAGTAATGTTGGCTTTTTATGCCTGAGTATAGCAATCTGTAATGGTAGTGTGCTTACATTGGGCACTGAGTTATATAAAGGATTAAATAGCAGGTTTAACTGCGACTGGCATAGCTTTCTCAGAACTTCAGTCGCAGCCTTGACATTATTTTAATACATTTTTTTTTTTACTGTAAAAGTGCCTGTCTGAGAACTTTTTAACACTCTGGAGTTTTCATTGCCAGAGATTTTACACCTCAGTTGATTCTAAGAATATGCTTACATGGGCAATAAAATATTAATTCCCTCTTCTGTGAAATGCCAGACATGTTGTAATAGTATCTGACTCCCTTGAGGCCTAGAATGAAAGGTGCCAGATGCTGCATTCCTTTCTTTCTTTCTATCTCTCTTTAACCCCTCTATTTTTGTTCCATAATTTTGTGGCTTTCTCCCACTGAAGTGTATGGCAAAGGTTATTTGAATGTCACTGGCAGGTTGATTTTTAGATATTTTTTGTAGTGTTAGACTTAAACCTGGGCTTTCATTTTGTGCCTATAATTATTTTCTGTGCATAGTGAATATCACTTAATGGCCAGCATATTCATACCATAATTAACTAGACATCCATGTGATATTAGGTGTGATTTACATGTAAATAGGTTTACATTTTTTGTGCAAAGAAGATGCTTAGTTTTGAAAAAATACGTATTTCTTGCATTTTGCTTCTCTAGCAATATTTAGCATATTATAGTAGTGTTCTAAGCAGGTAGCTAATAGTTTCATAGAGTTTTAAGTAGGATAGGAAAATAAGGGCTTCCTGCAATAATGCAAAGCAAAGCTGTTCTGTTCTAGGAAGTCAGTACTCTAAGAGTTTCCACTTGTCCTGGAAACTCCTTGCTTGCATGCACACTGCTGTAATTCCTATGTGATTCAGGACAGTGTCACATGTATTGATTACTGTACTGCAAGCGTCAGAACACACTTATGATTTGCTGACATAACTTTGTGGGTCAGGAATTTGAGGAAAAAATTCCTAAGCAGTATAGTTGTATCAGCAAAGACCATGACGTGGATGTAGTTATACTGGGAAGAGAGTCCTTGTGTCTGTATAATTTCTTCTATTTAGGGAATGGATTTAAGGCAGGGGTGGGCAATTATATAGACCCAAGGACCACTTAGGGAGTTTTGGTAAGCTGCCCCTTGCTATGCTGAGTCAGCACTCTCTCCCTCCCCTGCAACAGCTCACCAAAACTCCCTAAGTGGCTCTGCTCTGCGCTGAACTGGGCAGCTGAGATGGAGCCGTGGGTGGGCAGGGAGCAGCATCTTGGAGTAGGATGGGAGGGCAGGGCTTGGGCTGGGATCATGCGACTGTGATAGTGTGGGGCTGGGGCCTGGGGCACAGCTATGATCTGCCGTCCACATGACCCTGTGATGGGCACTGGTTCCATGGGTAAGGGCATGCAGGGAGCGGATTGCAGCTGTGCTCTGGGCCCCTGCCCTGTGCTGTCACCACCCTGTAATCCCAGGGTCTCCATGAAGACTAACCAGGACCTGTGCACGTAGGGCATGTGGCTGGGCGGATGGGATGGGGCTTCGGGTGGGCACGGAGCCGTGTTTGGGAGCAGAGCAAATGCATAGGGCTGGGGCCAGGTTCACGGCGCAGTGAAAGTTCAGGCCTGGGGCCGAGCCATGTTGCTCCTTGTATGCCCCTGTCCACAGAATTAGCACACATCACAGGAATGTGCAGGCAGCAAATTGTAGTTCTGCCCTGTGCCCTGGCCCCATGCTGTCACTTGCTTCGTGATCTGGCCCTGCCCACCTGACCCACTCCCAGATGCCATTTCCTACCTGCCTGCAGCCCCTTCTCATCCACCCAGCCACATGCACTGCCCGCATGGGTCCTGTCCCTGGCAGTGGGTGTGGTGTGGATGAGCCAGGGTGCCTGGGCAGTGGGGCTGGTCTCGGCAGCAGCATCTGGAAGAAGGTACCGCCACCAGAACTGCTGAGAAAGAGTCCAGAGGCAGTGTTGCCTCAGTCCTGCTGCGCACCTGGGGGCTGTGGGACTGGCTACATGCGCCACAGCCTGGGCTGCCCCTCATGCCTGAGCCAGGTGGGACTGAAGGACCCACTGCAGGCCACAAAAAATCCATTGGTGGGCTGGACCTGGCCTGCTGTCCATATTTTACCCACCCCTGGTTCAAGGTATGAGTCACAAAAAAGCTCTTTTGCCCATATGAGTTGTCTCCACTTAGGCACTTGGCCAGCTTGCTGGCTGCATGGCAGCCAGTAAAACCTTTACCGGCCAGTAAAAGCTCTGTGTTTTAGACTGTTTTAGAGAGAGGTTGGGATAGTTATATTTGTGAGAGTTTCCAGACCTGCCATTGTAACTCTAATTTTGTTAACCTGGCAGATCTTGCTACCTGAGTGTCACCTGATGGAGGGAATTCCCGGGTGCTGGAGAACCATCATAGGAGCTCCAATGCTATATTCTATGATTCTTGCTTGCATTTGGAAGGAGGGGTACTCAGCCAGAGCTCTTCTGCTTTCTGCCTCCTCCTAGCTACCAAAATGGCCTGGTGTCTACATAGCTGGCATGATTTCGAGTAATTCTGGGGAGCCCAAGGAGCTAATACAGATCTGGCCTCAGAGGCTGTTGTCAGTTGACTCAGCTGCAAAACAAGCACCTAGTCCTTCAGACTGGAGAAGTCAAAGGTGGCCAGACATGATCCCACCACTTCCTTGTGTGCCACTGGCTGCAGAAACTGGTGTGTCTTAACCATGGTGGCAGAGCAAGGGCCTGGCCCATTGTCTTCATTGCTTATTGGTTTATCCTTTTGAAACTGGGCATAACACTGGCACTTCACGTGAATCTAAAGTTAACAAGAAATTAAATGCAAACTTGTTTTTATTTCTATCTGAATTCTTTGTTTCTTTATAGGTGGCTAATCTAGAAAGTAAGGAAGCAAAGCCTCTTTGTGAAGATGTGGACTGACTGCTTTCTGCTCATGCTACTGACTGAACAGTGTGGACTAACCTTGAAAAGACTACAGTCAGAGCTAGATTATGTTCTTTATATCAGCAGAGTTGCAGTGATTGAGCAGTTTATAGCATATTATATATGCAAAGAATTTAAGACTGTACTCACCACCCCCTCCTTTGATTGGTGAACTGTTCATAAGTGGATCTGGATTCACACCTAATATATTCACAAGATAGTCTGGACAAGTAACTTCCTGGCAGTGTGGTGTTCCTGGCTTCAGCCATTGGCTGTTTTGTGACATGGGTTTGGTTGTATAATTCGCATGGTCATGTGCATGTTATTGAATTGGCTGGCTGGATCTTTTCAAATGTGAAAATATATAAGGATAGGCATTTTGTACTGCATCTTTAGATAAACAGTCATAATGATTCATTAATACTGCCAGGGACACTTGAATACTGTTTGAGAGTTTGCAAATTACAATTAAAGTGTTCCCATCAATCTCAAAAAAGTTCTCTCACTGCTTTTAATTGTGAAAAGGTATGCACAAGTGCATATTAAATATGACTGGATGTCATGAATAGTTCACCTGTATATTTTTTTAACACACTGAACTTGAAAGCATAGGATTTTGCAGTTTCTGGCATATGCTGCTCTGAAATACAATTTTTACATGTTACCATGTATTAAAGTTGCAGTTTTATTATGCTAATTGACTTATTTTACATTTTTTGATATGCCAGAATTAACCAATCTAGTCTTGCCTACCCTAGTGGTGGAACAGCAGAGAAAAGTCAGCATTTCTTGTTAACTTTAGATTTGCATCAGAAACCATTAAGCAAGATATATGGGTGTTTGCTTCACTTTTAAACATGCCTATTCCCTTTGAATGGCCTGTACCAGGACTTTGGAGTTCAGAATTAAGGCCTGCTATGTAATCCTTGGCAAGTCACTTTAATCTCTGACTTTTTTTCCCTACATATAAAATAGGAATGATGCTTACTGCATAAGGGATGTTTTAAGGATTAATTAATGCTCACTGCTGTCTTGGATCCTCAGGCATTATAAATATATGGGATTACTTAATAATTAGCTAGAAAGGATTTTTAAAAGAAATTGGCAAGTGTTTGTCCCTTCAGTGCATGGCACAGTCACACAGGAGAGGATAAGTCTCGTGTCCTGGCTGACTTTCACACATTACCAGGTGCTACCATCCAAGGCTGAGTTGGATCAGTTATCACTGATCTTTCAATGGCTCCTTTATTTGCTTACATGCTCACCAGGTTTTTGGAATCAAGGTCATTGCTCCAGAACATTTTGGCTGCTTACAGAGTGGGAACCCCCGCCACCCCGAAAAAAAGCTCTTTACTTGAAATTTGGCGTGCTCCCGCACTGAGCTCAGCACATGCCTGGAAGAGGCAGTGTGCTAATTGCACCCAGCTTTTCCAGAGTCTGAAGAGACCAGATGCTTAAGTGGGGCTTTTTGGTGCTCTAACTTAATAGCTGAATAAATCAGCTTTAGCTAAAAGTGCCAAAAAGCCCTGCTGTAGTGCCTGATCTATACAGACTTTGTGGAACTGGGTTGAAGTAACATGTTGTGGCTTCTGGTAGGGCAAGTTTTTTGCCCCCATGTCAGCACCTTAGAGACAGATTTTTCACTTGCTATTTACATCTATCTCATTTTAAGCTTCACAACTTCACTTGTGCTCTGAACTGCAGAAAGAAAGAAAATGAGGGTAGAGTTGTTAGTGTGTGTGTGTCTCTTTTTCCAACTGTTGACTTAAAAGCAAGGCACTTTGTTTACTTTCTTTACTCTGTCAAATAATGGCCTTTCGAGGCAATGATCTATACTTTTTGTCAAATGATGGATCGGAGCCATAACATTCCACCATGGGAGTCTATACCTACTTCATAACACAGTGGAAAGAGGTAGGGGGGATAGATAGATTTTTGTATACTCTGCTTTCAGCTCAGAAAGACAGAGCTGTTCAAGGAGAGAGTTGTAATTGGGGGTGTTGGCAGCCTCTTAGCAGGATCTCACATAGTCCAGGTTGGAGTGAAAAGTTGATTTCTCCTAACAGGTGCCAGTGGTGGTACTACCACATATTACATCTTGTATGATTTTACTTTCTCCTCAGCCCTTTGAGTCAGAAGTAGCAGGTGAAATGGACAACGGTTCTGATTTAAGCTTTGCATCCTTTGGAATATCTCAAAAAAGAGCTCATCTTCTCACTAATGTCACAGCTACTGCTTCTGACCTCTCTTGATATTCATGAGAGAGAAGCAAAAAGGAAGGACCAGCCTCTCTTCATTTCTTTTAATATATTTCCAACTCGAGAGAGAGCAGCAAAGAGAATGACAATTTAATGTTGGCAGACAGATTGTTGATGCTACTTCTAGTTGTCTAAACAAGTTAAACAATTTTTAAGCCGGCACCTGTGCTATTCTTGTTTCCTGATTATAGGAAGAATACACTAATGCAAATGGGCATTATCTCCCTGGAACCATTGTCAACAGCAATTTTAAATCAACCCAGATGTATCATTTTATCATCTTATTGAATTCTATTTTCATTGTAGCTCTTAGTGGGTACTATCAGTTAATCATTTGTCAACACTTATCCCACAGTATTATCAATTATGCCACTATTTCCTCCTCTGCTGAGAATGGGACATAACTGTAGTAACTGTTGACACACTAACTTTCTAACCACAGTCACTTTACCAAAGAGAATGGCACATAATTTTTCCTAGCTTCTTCTTAAAATTTCTGCTCCAGTTTGAAGTCTTTGGAAAATGTAATGAGAGCCAGTTGTACCCATAATCAGTGGCAGCAATCCAAACGTTATGTCAAAACATGGCAACTGATTTTCCTTTTGGAAATACTAGTTTGATCCATCCAACACCAAAAAAAGAGTAACGGTGACAAACATCTTTCATAGTTCCAGTGAGTAGGTAGAGCCTTGTAGGGCCAGATCCACATAGTTATGTAGGTGCCATCGCCATTGTTTTCAACTGGAATGTAGAGCTAAACATTAAGGGTGTGAGCAATGGGCCCTATTCGATGTGGATTTGGCCCACATTGGGGACAGTGCTTTGATTTGTTGATTCAGTTGGTTGATTTGGAACACTGTCCCTGAGTTGATTCTGCTGAATCTGAATCTGACGATTCGATGCTGATTCAGAGAATCAGAGATTCATTGACACAATGTTACATGTTTTTTCTACATACCTTAGGTACCAGGGTGACTTACGAATGATGTGATGCTGGGGCATGTGGAGCATCCCACAGGAGTGTGAGGGGGCCCCCCCACGTGGTGAACCCGGAAGTGGACCGGAAGAACACAAGTGGACCAGAAGTATTTCCGGTCCACTTCCAGGTCCACTGGGGGGGCCCCCCTATGCCCCCTGGCCGCAGAGGGACCCCGGGTGCCCTCCCAGACCCAGGAGGCACCAGTCACTGAGCCAAGGAGGTGCGGGGAGGCCCCCCAGCGCACTCTTCTGCGGACCCAAAAGTGGACTGGAAGTGCTTCTGGTCCACTTCTGGGTCTGCTGCCAAGTGCACTGGGGAGCCCCCCATGCTCCTGTGGGGCACTCCATGTGCCCCAGCATTGCAGCATTCACGGGCTGCCTGCTACCCTGAGGTATGTAGAAAAAACATGTAAAGCTGTGTCTATGTCTGAGTCACCGAATCGATTCAGAGGGTTCCGATTCAATTCAGAGAGATTAAAGGGTCCTGTGATTCAATCCGGATTTGGAGATTCAGCCACCGAATCAGGCCAAATCTCTGCGAGATCAAATCGGGGAATGAAGCTTTGCACAGCCCTACTAAACACCTTGGTTTTGCATTGAGAATTATTTCAAAAAGTGTAAATGGCAGCACAGTGTTATTTATAAGAGCTGAGTTTGAGTAATGGATAGCCTAGATTTATTCTAAGCAAGTATAGCAGACAGAAGAGAGTAGGAAAATAGGGAGATGGTAGTAATGGGTCTCAGATGTCACCATCCGATCACCTGGTTATAAGACAGTGATAGAGTAAATAAGTAATGCTTATCTGAGATTTAGTAATTAAGCATCCACATTAATTATGTCTGCAGTCTTTTCTGTCTTGCCCATTTGGTCTTGCAGATCTATTCCTTTGCTGAGTCTTTCCTTCTTCAAGGTCATATGGAAACAACTGTATCATTCTGTCTTGAAGTCAAGTGATCATTCCCAATGCTGCATATATGGAACAAACTTGGGTAAAATGTAGGTGTAGCAGAGGTGTAATTATCTACTGAAGATAATGTGACTATAGTCCAGGGTAATTACTGCCACATCACATCCACAGGATGTGCTACAACAGAACTTGGAGTGGGAAAATATGAGTTTTATAAATCCATAATTTTGGTGTCTCTCATTATAAAGATATAAGAAAAATGGTACCTGAAGTCAGATCCTAGATGCATACTAAGGTTTGGCTTAGATCTGACTCTATTCCTCAGAAAAATCAGTGTTTTGAAATGTGTCTTACTGTTAGATGCCTCATTACACAAAAAGGAAGTTATTTATTGCCCAACATGCCTCATAGTTGAACTGTTACTTAGAACTACATCTCATTATAATCTGCTTCAATGGAAAAAGAAAAATTGCCTCTGATTTTACATCAATTTCAGTTGTTTCTAGAAAAATTACTATTTTTCCCCCTATGAGGTAGAAATTTACCACTTTTTTTTAAGAGATCAACCAAGCGAATACTTCTAAAAAATACTGATAATGCACCTAGTTTATAAATTAATAGCTATATTGATAGCAGCTGAAATAGAAACACTTGTTCACATAATATATAAAGTGAAATGATGAAGTCAAACAACTCCATATTAAACCACATTTATAGCTGAAAACTAATTCATACTGTGAATTTTGTTCAGTGAATGTCTCAGATTGGGAAAGGGACTGAGCAAAACAGTGGCAGATGCTGAAATCTAAGTGTTCCACTGACCATCCAAAAAGTGAAACTGCAAGCGTTTTGCCTTCAACAGTAATTATCAACCAAGGTGCTATGCGATTCTCTTAAGGGTGTTGTGGGGTGTCATGCAATATTAGCACTGTTAGGTGTTTACCCACTTACCCGTGATTCACAAGATAAACCTAGAGTTTTAGGAAATGCAATAGGAACTCTCAGTGTCAAAAAAATCTGACCTGTTGCAGTTTTCCTGAGTTCTTTGTAACAGAAAAATTGCTATATTATTTTTCCATATTGTAAGAGCTAGCACTTCCCAAGGGAACCTTCAGTCTAAAAAGGCTGAGAACCACTGCCCTACAACTTAGCAAATATGCCTGTCATGTTGATGGAACTGCTTCCAAGAGTAGAGAAATGGCAAGGACTATGTGGCCACAGAGACAACTAAGCGAGCCAAACCTAATGTTAACTATAACAGTTGTACTCTTCCCTAGATATAAAGATCACCAGTTAATTTTAATTGAAGGATGTTTTAACATTACCTTTTTCTAAAGTCAACATAAGAAGGCTCTGATGCTGCAAATACTTGTGATTAGCCATAATGCTACACAAGCTATCCAGTGATCTGCAAAGTGATTTCCAAAAGTCCAGCTGTTTATTTAATGAGCACTGCATACAGTGCTGCTGGTCCTGTGATATTAGCAGACCTGAAGCTGACTAGCTCCCCTCATTTTTCAAGGCTTATAATAGCTGTTGTAGTTGCTATTCAAAACT